CCGTGTCACATTTTATGTGTTTTTGGAATTGTGGCCTTCCACCAGTTCCCATCAGCGCAGGCATTTGGGTTCACACACACCCCTTCACAGTGATGCTGGCATGTGGCCTTTTATGAAGTCATGAAATCTAGCTAAAAACTGAAAAAACAACAGACAAACTCTTTGTCTCAGCTGCAAGAAGGTAAGAGGGACTGCCAGAAAAACGCTGCCCAGGAGTTTTTTCACTGATTTCCTCCTGCCTTGTCCTGCCCCTGCCTGGGGACTCCAAGCAGATGCAGCACAGTGACGTGCCATTGCTTCCTGCCATCTGCTGGGCTCCCCTTCCTTTTGGGATCAGCTCAATTGCTGTCAGCATCAGCTTCAAAACCCAAGATGTCAGAAACTCAAAGTTTCCATACAAATATGTGTGATGCCCAGCCTTCAGTCCTTTTTGCACAGGCTTTGAAAAAGGTTTCTGTCTGCATGCTCTTGGAGCAGCCAGAGGAGCTAATTAGAAGGAGTCCCAACTGTAACCTTTGCACAAATCCTTCAAAGGAAGAACTGAACATGATGGTATCTCTTTGCCAGACAATATTTACCCATTGTGCATCTGCAGGCTCAGTGACAGAAACCTGCAGCACAAATTCAACAGCTTCCTGTCTCAGTTTCTGCAAACCAAAACTGCAGCATTAGAAAACAGAGAAAAATGCTATTAACTCTCCCCATGAGTTAAACAGCACATAAACCTCAAGAAGGCACATGAGCAAAGACAAATGGGCTGTTGCAGCGGTCATCTCTTTTGTTTGTAGTAAATTATTGTGTGTAATTCATGTTTCCTGTCCATAAATACCAGAGGAACTTGAAGACATGGAATCCATTCTAATTCAGTAAAGACAAAAACAACTCCTTTTGAGCCCATCTGGAACTTGTTTTTATCATAATTGTTTTGGGCTCAGTAACGAGTTCAAGATCTAACTGCCGCCTCTAATTGTTTCAAGGATAAGCAGCTGCTTTGTTTAAAGGCAGCAGCTCCCATTTTGCCCAGCACGGCAGTCGGGGCTCGCAGGATGAAAGGAGCTGTGCCGTGTCAGCACAGGCCCTTGGCAGGGCGCTCACCCCACTGCAGCTGGTGGGGCAGGGAAACAGCCCCAGGCACGCACTTGTGAGTGTCCAGCTCCTGCCGTGTGCCCTCTGCTCTCCAGCAGCACTGGCGTTGTGTTTGTAGCTTCATCTGATGAGGTTTGCAGCGTGTCCTGCTGTGACGAGTCACGCCTGGCCTGGTGACACACAGGCATCTCCTCCAGCTGGGCTGTCGGGTACTCAGGGAGAGCATTCGCTCCCTGGCCACATAACCCCAAGCCCCTTGCTTGGGTAATGCTCCATCCCTGCTTACAGTCCCGAATCTTTCCTTCATGTGAAAACAGAGATACCCCCAAACCCACTGTGAGGGACTCCCCTGCCAGGGCAGGAGCCCGTGTTGTGTCTCAGACCTGTTGTGCTCAAGGTCTCACCCACTGTGCTCCCCAGGACGTGCCATGCCTGAGACCCTGGGTGTAGAAGAGGTCTCCATGTGCCTGATGCCCTGGCACTAGGAACAAGTGAGGCACACCAGCCAGGAGGTTATTCCAGCCCTCAAACTCAGTCCTTGGTGGCATGGACAAGAGGTGCAAGAGCTCCATGAACCCGCTGTGCATAGATAAGCTGTGTAATCATAACTGTTGAGGCACTTGAAATGTTTGCTTTTCCATGTGTAATAGCCATATATAAATTTTTCCTCCTTCACTAAAGGATTTCTTGTTCCAAATCATCTAACTCTGGAGTGTGATGGCTAAAGTCAGGAGTAAGTGAATCATACAGAATTGGATGGATTTTTAAATTTGTTTGTTTGTTAGAAAGAAACTAAATATAGCACTTAGAGTTCAGCCCTCCAAGGACATGTGGTTTGCACAGGGTTTGCTGTAAATCACAGTTAATATTATTTTTATTTCCTATGGTTTTTAGTTCAAAAATACATCTTTGTGTCTGGCATGAGAAAGATCTCATTTAAATCCCCTGGAGCAGAGCATCATCACATATCCAAATAAAGCACCTCTTCCAAAACAGCTTCTGATCATGAGTTGAAGACATCAAACAAGAAAATGTCTGTCTCTCTGCACAGTTATTTTTCTCCAGTGTTTAATAATTCTTGTTAAATTCTTCTGACTTGTGATCTGTCCCCTACACCACAGGTCACCTCCCACAGCTGTCAGTAGGGAATATCCTTCAGGGCCCTTTATTTTGTAACATCCATTTCATAAGCACTGTGGCCAAATCAACAAGAGAACTGAAAAACAATGCTTGTGTCTTATAAAAATGGTCTGTGCTCAGCTCACAACAGCAGCACATCAACTGAGTGTGCTGTCAGCTGCTGGAGACCCCTACAAGGAGTCAGAAAAGGTGTTTGTGCTTTGGTTTTCACAGAGGCAGGACTGTGTGTCCCAGTCCAGCTGCCTCTCAGTGAGCCAGGGCACAGCTCTAATGAAAAGCTCTGTCTGAAGGGACTGTTAAATAAGAAAGCAGGATGAGTCTGACACTCTGACACTGCTGCACACATTTTCCTCTCCTCTGACGGGAACTTTCAGCAATATTTGATGCCATTTGGTAGAGTCTAAATGCTCTTCTCTCACATACAGAAGAGATTTTGTTCAGGCAAGGACTTTGTTCCTTCTGGCCTTGAGGTCACTCAGTTTCAACCAAGTGCCTGTATCAGTGTCTGATATAGAGATGGAAGGGAAATAAATAGTTCAGCTACAGCACGACCTACAGCTCACAATGGACTGGAAAAAAATGTATTTCCATTATTTTTAGTACTTTGAGTTTTCTCAGTTTTCCCAGAGAAGCTGTAGTGCTTATCAGGTGGAGGAAAAGGCAGACTGCTGATCCAACACACAGAACACACAGCTGTTCTTCTGACATCCAAAAATCCCAGCTAGCAAGGGAAAGCAGCAAGTTCCCTTGGCTGTCTCAGCCCTCGTGTCCTCACAGGACTCAGCTCCCATGGATCTCCACTGCCTGGAAAGTGTCCCAGTGCCTCTGTGTGGTAGCAGAAGCTCTGTCAGCATTGGGTCCCTGCCCTGAGAAACCTCTGTGATGAAGCTCATTTCCTGAAGTTCTTATACAGTGCCTTGAACTTACATAAATTGTGGGGGTTTTATTAAGAACATTAGCGAGCTGCTGGAACTGAGAATAGTAGTGTCACAGCAGGGCGCTCCTTTCCTACAAAGAAAAATCCATTTCGACAACTAAATAAACATAAACATTGCTTTCACCATGAAGTCAGCAAACCTGCTGCATGTTTCTTGAGAAAGCTGCTTGTTTGCAGATTTTGTTATTTGTCTTTGTATTCTGAGCGAGTTCTGCAAGAGTCAGAACAAGCAAACAGAGGCATTTTGTATCTTACAGTGATGGTCCTTACAGGAAAGTGAGAAGGGATTGCAGAAACAGCCAGGCTGGAGCTTGGGAAAGTCAGCAACCAGCCAGGGAGCCGCTCCAAATCTCTTCTGCAATTTACAGGGTAGCGTGTTTGGGGAGAATTCATCCTGTAGATCCAAGCCTCACAGATGGAAATGAGGCCCCTTTTCTCCCCTTGAAGTTGGTCCAGATGATTCTGGTGTGAAAACACACTAAAACATTGGAAGCTCTCAGTTCGTGACAGATCAAAGAGCATGTGTTGATGGTCTTTCCTAATGGCAGGATTAGCACTTATTCCTGCAGTCAGATAACTGCAGGCAGCCCCTGCCATCACATCCTCCAAAGAACTCCTCTCACATGCACATGGCATCATATTTCACCCTGGGTATGACAGGTTTGAGTTCAGTGAAAGAGTATTTGAAGAGAGAGGCTGGTGGGTCCCCCACTGCTGCTGGAAACCTGCCGGGTTTATGTGAAGGCTGCCAGCACCAGGAGTAACTGCAGAGCAGTGGCTGTACCCTGGTGACAGACCCTGACCCCAGAGATTCCCCCATCCACAGCTGAGACTCTGAAGCTCTGACAACAAGGATGAAACCTTGGGAAAAGCTGGGGTTTTTAAGGTGCAGCAAAAAGCCATTTAGAAACACAACCAGTGTGACCATCTCCCAGCACCAAAGCACGAGTAATAAGATGCTGTGCAGATGAAAAAAAAAAATATCTATCTCTTCACTCCTCATCAAGGCAGCTGTTGCTAGAAAAGATGGAGGACAACTTCCTGAGGCTCCCAGCTAGCCAGCTGCACACAGATCTCACCACAGCAACATCCAGTTCCTGCCACTCTGGAAGAGGGAGGCTGGTGAACAGCCTGTGCCACCATCCCAGCATCTCACTGCCCACCCTGTGCCACAATCCCAGCATCTCACTGCCCACCCGCAGGACTTCCCTCACCTCTGGCAGCTCCACAAGCTCGGAGCAGACAGCATGAGGAAAATAGAGCTCTCCTTTTTGAATTAATTACTGTTCTTGATATATGCTGCCTAAACTCTCCATCGGCGCCTGTTGATGGTACAGTTATGTCTGTTTACCAGTTATTGCTTGGGAAGCTGCTGGAAGGATTCATCCAAACCCTGCCACATGCAGCACAGTGCTGGCATGTTGGATTCACAGCCTAACACAGCAAATTTTGTACTTCTCCTGCCACTTAGTGGCTGCAGCTGATGCAGCACCACATCCCTGGCTCCGCATTCACCAGGGACTACTCTGTGACGTGGAACAGGCTCATATTTCTGTTCAGGTGCAGGAAAACCTGAATAGGGACAAAGAGGCATTTAAAAACATTTCACTTATTTCAAACTCTCTGAAATCTGTCAGGGCCCTCACAAATCTCACTCTGCAGGATGAAAGATGTTAAAAGGGTGATTACTCCTGAAGGCCAGATATTTTGTGAAGCAGCAGCTTTAAGGATACTGCTGGCAGTGCAATATGCCTCTGTCTCCATCTCTGGGATTCATAAGGATTCAGCATTTCCCACTGCCAGGGAGTGCCTTTCTGCTCTACAGAAAGAAGCAAGGCTGTCACTGCTGCACCTGACAGGAGCTCTGATTGTGGCTGTCTGCTCTGTGCCAGGCTATGGAGAGGGAGCAGGAGCAGAGCTTTCTGTGCCTTCATGCACAGCCTTTCCAGAAATAGCTGCACTGCCTGTCACCAGGACACAGACACGAGCACAGGGAAAGGCTTGGATAACCAGGGCTGAAGGGCTCGGGCTTCATTCACTCCTGTCACTGATGGCACCAAGGGAAACAGTCTGGTTTGTCCTTCAGATCCTAGATTGTGCTCCAGGACAAATACAATCAGGAAAAAAAATTGTAGTTCACTTCTGCTTTGATCACACTTAATCAGAGCAGTGAGAGTGGTAGCTGTGCCAGATGCTCTGGGAAGGAATTGATGTTGTAAACCACGCTGCCCTTCTAGAGGGTTTGGACAGATCTGGATCTTAGAGAATCATTTCCCTGGACTGTCATGGACTTTCAACAAAATGAGTTGAACTGTCGTGCTAATGAACATGCAGCTCAGTTTTGGGAATGTAAATCAGCTGGCAAAACACCTGCCAAATCAAGTGTCTTATCCTAACGTAATGGGTGACTAAATACACATTCCCATGCTGGAGATTTAAATAATCCTTCAGAGCACCGTGAGAGTACCAGAGGCTTTGGCAGACAGAGGAAAACCTACGAAAGAGGATGAACAAGCTGCAGAGACTGGTAAAACATCTACTTTACTATTCTTATTGGCAGATTTTTTTTAATTTGAATTTTTATAAGGCTGTGTAAGTACTGTCAGGTTTGCATAGAATTATTTTTCCAGCTCATCACAGTCCTTGGGATAAAGCTGACAGACTAAGGGCTCTCCTGGCTCAGCTGCACACCACCACGGTGGCTGGGAGAACACTGCAGGAGCCGGGCGTTACAGAGGGCTTGGGAAGGTCACTCTGTAAATGCTGCTCAGCTCTGAGCACAGAGCTGGCCCTGAAGGGAGAAAGAAACCATCCTGCTTTAGCTCATGGCCACAAAAGAGCTCTGTGACACACGACTTGATAGAGGGTGTATTCTGTAATGAAAGCAGGGGATTGAGCAGGATGGTATATTCCTAGACATTGTAAATGAAAAAGAAATGTGCTGTTTCAGGGACAGAAAACTCTCTCACCTGGAGAACGAGGATAATGAGGAATAGCAGAGATATGAGGTGCCCAATCCTTAGCTCAGCTCTGGGTAACAGCACAGGGAAGTGGTGTAGCCATGGAAAGTGCAAGCGAAATGTGTCTGCTGCTAGCTGGGACAGGAGAGCTCAGCCTCCTCTTGCTGCAGGCTTGGAATAGTCTGGCTTTATTTTTGTCCTGGAGGACATCATGTCTGGGACTGGTATGGAAGTTATTTAGACGAAAACACTTTGAGGAAAGGGAAAGAATCCAAAATTATTTGAATTTGTGGGTTTAGAGCTATTGTGAGACTAGACCAAAATTTCCTTTCCTTTGGTGGATGTCTCTTTTAGAAGAAACTGAGCAGGTAAAGCAAAAAGAGGTCCTCAGCTTTGGGTTATTTAAGTTCCCAGGGTCACTGGGGTCATATTCATGTAGCAAAACACAATTTGGCCTGAGGTGCCCTGCACTGGCTGGCAAACAGCCGAGCCTGAGCATGGGCTCTTTATGTGACACTGGAGCTTTCCCAGTGGGAGAGGTTTTCAAGCAGGGGGCTGGCAAAGGCCATCCTGGCCTTGGGCCACCCTGAACATTGTGCAGGAGGTGTCAGGCTAAAGACCAGGGACCCCAGCATGCTCAGAGTGGTGTTGAGATGTGGAACAGAACTCCCAGTCCCAAAAATCCCACAGGGCACATCTTGCCTGTCACAGGATTTTGCCTGCAGATGGGGAAACCAAAGGCACAGGCACAAAATAGTGGCAAAAAGCTGTCTGGTTTTATTGTCAGCCTGCCAGTGAGCTGTCAGCACTGAGCTGGGCCAGCCAGGACAGCTTGTTCTGCAGCCTTCAAAAAGTCAAGAGCCCTGACTTTTATACCAGCACGGATCCTGTGATGCCACACGAGGCAGCTCCTTCCCCTGCTGTGCCTCCCCAGGCTCAGCAGTGCTGTCCCTGGGCAATGTGAGCAAGTGGCAATACTCACACGTGAAGGAATGTCCCCAGGGAGACCTGAACATGGCATGGGAACCCCCTGTCTGCCACGTTTCACCTGTCTCATAATGCTGAATGCACAATTACAGGCTGCTAAACAAGTGCAGCATCACAGGAAAGACACTGTAATCTAAAATATGTGTTATTATCATGAAGGCATGGAAATAACAGCACACCAAGGAATCCCAAAAGCACTGGGTACACATGGCCATGGGAAAATCCCCCAGCTCAGTGTCTCAATGTCTTTGAGTCAGTTTATTCTGCACAAGGAAGCCATCCACTGTCTGCCCCTTCCTTCAGCTTCAGAACAAGATCCTGATCCTGACCATTTGTGCTGCTGGCATTGGAGGCACGTTCCAGTATGGCTACAACATCTCCATCATCAATGCCCCGGCCTCAGTAAGTACTGCTGCCCCGAGTGCCTGCCCTGGCAGGCCCTGGGGACTGGGGGTGCCCCTGGAAATCTGCAGGCTGCTGCTGCTGCTGGGGGACAGAAAACAAGGATGTGCTGTTCCCTCTGCGTAATTCACATCCAGAGCACAGGACTTTGTTGTCAAAAGCCACACTTGAGCAGGACCTAGTGTCACAAGAATTTATTCAAAGCTTTGTTTCAGCTGCTTTAGGAAAATTGAATTCTAGAATATGCCAACCTGCATCCTTTGAAGTTGGTTTTTGCCCTTAGGTTGAAAGGGAGACCCATGAAATCAATTTTTAAATTGTCAAAAATAACCACATAGAGATATAAACCAACTGCAAGTTTTCAACAGCAACAGTTTTATACCCTACACTCTTTGCTAAAAACACATCTAAGAACGGGAGGAGACTGGAAGCATAAACACAGAACAAATAGATACCTTAACAAGGGAGCCCTTCTCCGTGTCCTTCCCTCTCTGGGGGCTCTGCAGCTCTGTCCTTCTCTCTCAGTACATCCAGGTGTTCATGAACACGACCTGGCTGGAGCGCAGGGGCGTTCCCCTGCAGAGCAACGTGGTCCTGCTGCTCTGGTCCTTCACGGTCTCTGCCTTCCCTCTGGGAGGCCTCACTGGGGCCGTGGCTGCTGGGCCCATGGCCATCATGCTGGGCAGGTAAGAGGTGCTGGAATTAAACTTAACCTTTGCAGCTCCCCTTAGTCCAAGAGGAATTGGGATTCCTACAGCACAATACCCACCATGGTTAAAAATATTGAATATATATTGAATATCTCAAGGCTCATTGGGGAATTGTTTTTTCCCCACATTACCTTCTCATCACATTCCAGCCCAGCTGAGGTGCTGCAAGGATTTCAGCTCAACTCCTTACCACAGTACCCACTTACATAATCTCTGTCATTTTTGTGCCTAGTTTTCTGCTATTCTTTTAAATGGGAAATCATAATGGATGATAGAATAATGGTATGATATCATAATGGATGATGTCATAATGATTATCATAAAGATAATGGATCAGACTAAGGATTTTTCTTCAAACTAAACTGTGGGAATGACACTAGAAAACAAGAGGATGCTTACAAAGAGCAGTAGGTGTATCCCAGCTCCTCATGTCTCACAGGCTGTATATCCACATTTTGGGCTGAAATATTTCAGGAAGTATTCATTAAGTCTCCACAGTGGGATTTTTCCTCTCTGCTTGAGTCTCTGAAAAGTATTTGTCTTACCTCATGCATCTTTCATACACAGCTCTATCCCCAGCTCTCTTCAGAAAAAAAACCAAAAAAACCCCCAAAAACCAAAAGTAAACCAACCAGTGTTACCAACATAAACTACATAAACTTATAAGAAATTAGATTTTGCCTCCCTGTCTCTTGACCCCAAGGTTTTCCTTTATCTGCTGTCACTTTGGTTTGCTCCTCTTGTATGATGGTGACCCCATTATGGTTTGAGGTCCCATGACTTACTAGTTTCATGGTTATAAAGACCTGAAAGGATATGGCTGCCTTAATCCATTAACACTTTTGAGATTTCACCCTGTCCTACTTTGGAATAAAATCATATTCCATCATAAATAAGAGAAACAAGGACTGACTGGTAAGGCAGTGAGCAGGGACTAGAGAGGATTTCTGGCAATATTAACAGTATGGGTCAATAGAGCTCTTTTTTCCCCTGGTTTTCAGCAGAAATTCCTCCTGGGACACATGAAAACTTCCTGACAAAGTTTCACAACGATTACACTATTACATGAAAAACGCCTGTTTCAACAAATTAACACTTCCAGACCAAAATGCACACGGCTCGCTGAGGGAATGTTCCTCCCCATTTAGTGGGAACTGTGTGTGGGAACAGGAGCCCTGGAGCTGGGGGAGAGCCTGGTGGTGGCCTCAGAGAGCCAAATAAGAGAAACAAAGACTGACTGGTAAGGCAGTGAGCAGGGACTAGAGAGGATTTCTGGCAATATTAACAGTATGGGTCAATAGAGCTCTTTTTTCCCCTGGTTTTCAGCAGAAATTCCTCCTGGGACACATGAAAACTTCCTGACAAAGTTTCACAACGATTACACTATTACATGAAAAACGCCTGTTTCAACAAATTAACACTTCCAGACCAAAATGCACACGGCTCGCTGAGGGAATGTTCCTCCCCATTTAGTGGGAACTGTGTGTGGGAACAGGAGCCCTGGAGCTGGGGGAGAGCCTGGTGGTGGCCTCAGAGAGCCCTGCAGGGACACCGGGGTGGCACGGGGACACTCCTGCGGGGCTGGGCTCACCAGGAGGCTCTGGGCTCACCAGGAGGCTCTGGGCTGGGGCTGCAGCTGCGTGGGAAGGGGTTTGTGCCAGAGCTGAGCCTGGCACACGTGTGCTCACAGCTCTTCTCTCTCAAAGGAAGATGTCCCTGCTGCTGAACAACGGCTTCGTGATCATAGCTGCAGCCCTGTCCGGGTGCAGCCGAATGGCCAAATCCTTTGAGATGATCATGCTCAGCAGGTTTTTTACTGGCGTGAATGCAGGTATGGCAACATGAGAGAGGTGAAAAATGCCAATCACTTGTTTTTAAAAATTTAGAAGTTTAATAGTAATTGAATGATTATAAAAATAGTAATATAATTAGAGTAATAAAATTTGGATAATTAGGATTAGGACAATATGAGACAATAAAAACAAAGAGTTATGGACAGTCTGGGTACCTCTTTCTGAGCAAAATAAGCCCAAAAAAGGACCCATATTAACATAGGATTAACCCTTAAAAACAACTGCCTTTTGCATATTGTTACATCTCATACATGATACATAAATTCTATGCAAACAAAAGATTCTGTCTGGTCAGTGTCACCTTCTTCCTCTGAATCCTGACAACATCTTCAGGGCTGAGGGAGGCAGGAAGAAGTTTGTTTCTTCTTATAAGGGAGCAATAAATTCTTTTTCTCTGAAAGATTTAGGTGTCCTGTGGCTGCTATCTCAGTGTGAGTCCTTTCTTTAAAAAAGTATATTACATAGCATAGTTTCTATTTTAACATTATGTTATAACCTAAAACTATATTTAAAAAAAAGGACCCATATTAACATAGGATTAACCCTTAAAAACAACTGCCTTTTGCATATTGTTACATCTCATACATGATACATAAATTCTATGCAAACAAAAGATTCTGTCTGGTCAGTGTCACCTTCTTCCTCTGAATCCTGACAACATCTTCAGGGCTGAGGGAGGCAGGAAGAAGTTCGTTTCTTCTGAAAAGGGAGCAATCAATTCTTTTCCTCTGAAAGATTTAGGTGTCCCGTGGCTGCTATGTCAGTGTGAATCCTTTCTTTAAAAAAGTATATTACATAGCATAGTTTCTATTTTAACATTATGTTATAACCTAAAACTATATTTAACACACTACTTAAGAAAATTAATACAGCATAACTTTCTAACATAACACATATAATATTCTTTTTAATATTTGTGAAAAGCCAATCATAAATACTCATTTTTCACAAAAAATATAGAAAGTGAAGGTGGTAATGATTAGACAAAAATTAAGTCAGAATGATCTAGGATATTAAAGCAATTAATCCCTTAGGATGACCAGACATATGTAAGTGAATTAAGAAGTTGTATATACAGATTTTATACTTTGCTTCTAAGGGCTTTCTTTTAAAGCATACACAGGCAGGGGGCTTTTGTGTACCACACATAAGCATCTCTGTGCACGGGGAAAATTTGAGCTGAAAAAGGATCCCTATCTGCTTGTAAGAATGTCAGTCACTCACCAGCATGAGCCCCAACACAAAAGCTTTTGTGGAAGTTCATCCCAGGAAATGATCAGTATAAGGGACTTAAAATATGATAGTCCCCTCAAAAGGGGAAAGTCGAGGGAACCATAGCATATAACCTTGGATTTGGTGCTGAAAAGACCATAGGGCTGAGGCCCTGACAGGTCTCAGTTTCATTGTCCACTGCTACTGATGGATATTGAGATGTGTGTTTAGTTACACAAGGACCGGGTGAAATGGAAGGTTTGGTGAATAACAAGCACTGGTAGATTACTTTTCACACGGCCTGCAATGGAAGAGTGCAGCTGGCAACCTCGAGAGGTGCTGCCTCCATTTATTCTTGTCTCTCTGCCCACAAGCTGAGGTCAGCATTGTCTGCCCTGCCCAGGTGTGAGCATGAACATTCAGCCCATGTACCTGGCAGAGAGTGCCCCAAAGAAGCTCAGAGGAGCTGTGGCCTTGACCTCTGCATCGTTTACAGCCCTGGGGCTGGTGCTGGGGCAGGTTGTTGGACTCAGGTAAGGTGAAGCAAGCAGCCCTTCCCTTCCCTTCCCTTCCCTTCCCTTTTGAGATGATCATGCTCAGCAGGTTTTTTACTGGCGTGAATGCAGGTATGGCAACATGAGAGAGGTGAAAAATGCCAATCACTTGTTTTTAAAAATTTAGAAGTTTAATAGTAATTGAATGATTATAAAAATAGTAATATAATTAGAGTAATAAAATTTGGATAATTAGGATTAGGACAATATGAGACAATAAAAACAAAGAGTTATGGACAGTCTGGGTACCTCTTTCTGAGCAAAATAAGCCCAAAAAAGGACCCATATTAACATAGGATTAACCCTTAAAAACAACTGCCTGTTGCATATTGTTACATCTCATACATGATACATAAATTCTATGCAAACAAAAGATTCTGTCTGGTCAGTGTCACCTTCTTCCTCTGAATCCTGATGGGATCTTCAGGGCTGAGAGAGGCAGGAAGAAGTTTGTTTCTTCTTATAAGGGAGCAATAAATTCTTTTTCTCTGAAAGATTTAGGTGTCCTGTGGCTGCTATCTCAGTGTGAGTCCTTTCTTTAAAAAAGTATATTACATAGCATAGTTTCTATTTTAACATTATGTTATAACTTAAAACTATATTTAACACACTACTTAATAAAATTAATACAGCATAACTTTCTAACCTAACACATATAATATTCATTTTAATATTTGCTAAAAGCCAATCACAAAATATGCATTTTTCACAAAAAATATAGAAGGTGAAGGTGGTAACAATTAGAAAAAAATTAAGTCGGAATGATCCAGGATATAAAGGAATTAATCCTTTAGGATGACCAGACATATGTAAGTGAATTAAGAAGTTGTATATACAGATTTTATACTTTGCTTCTAAGGGCTTTCTTTTAAAGCATACACAGGCAGGGGGCTTTTGTGTACCACACATAAGCATCTCTGTGCACGGGGAAAATTTGAGCTGAAAAAGGATCCCTATCTGCTTGTAAGAATGTCAGTCACTCACCAGCATGAGCACCAACACAAAAGCTTTTGTGGAAGTTCATCCCAGGAAATGATCAGTATAAGGGACTTAAAATATGATAGTCCCCTCAAAAGGGGAAAGTCGAGGGAACCATAGCATATAACCTTGGATTTGGTGCTGAAAAGACCATAGGGCTGAGGCCCTGACAGGTCTCAGTTTCATTGTCCACTGCTACTGATGGATATTGAGATGTGTGTTTAGTTACACAAGGACGGGGTGAAATGGAAGGTTTGGTGAATAACAAGCACTGGTAGATTACTTTTCACACGGCCTGCAATGGAAGAGTGCAGCTGGCAACCTCGAGAGGTGCTGCCTCCATTTATTCTTGTCTCTCTGCCCACAAGCTGAGGTCAGCATTGTCTGCCCTGCCCAGGTGTGAGCATGAACATTCAGCCCATGTACCTGGCAGAGAGTGCCCCAAAGAAGCTCAGAGGAGCTGTGGCCTTGACCTCTGCATCGTTTACAGCCCTGGGGCTGGTGCTGGGGCAGGTTGTTGGACTCAGGTAAGGTGAAGCAAGCAGCCCTTCCCTTCCCTTCCCTTCCCTTCCCTTCCCTTCCCTTCCCTTCCCTTCTTCCCCCCACATTTGCCAGGTTGTAAAAATCCTGTGTAAATCTGTGTTTGTTTTTCTCTAGGGAGCTCCTAGGAGGGGAGGAGAGCTGGCCATTCCTTTTAGCAAGCAATGTGGTTCCTGCCCTGATCCAGCTCACAGCTCTGCCGTGGTTCCCTGAAAGCCCCAGATATCTCTTGATTGACCGTGGGGACAAAGAATCCTGCATCTCTGGTGAGTTTAGGGGGACTGTTAGCTCGTGGGAACATGTGAGACTTGGGCCCCAACATTTTTGGAATGGTGTCACAAATTTTACATGTAGGAAGTTTCATATCAAATAGTAAACATGATCACTTCCTCCTTCCAAACGAAAGAACATTCTAAAATCTTAAATATATTTGATCTATTGAGGGAATTGAAAGGCATCTTCCTACAACAGGCTTACTTGCTACAGTAATAAGGTCAAAAGGTAAGACTTGTGCTCACAACGGCAAAGATGTTTTGTAACTATGAAGTGAAATAAATGCTGGTTGAAGAGCTCAGGATCAAAGCTGAAGCCAATTCATATTAAAGGATTTACTTAGATTTGTGGCATACAAATCCTCATATGCAGAGTGGCTGGAGTTATTTGTGGGAAATATGTGCTGTGTACCAAGAACATCTTAATTGCCTGCATTCCCCAGGGAAGGCACTGGAGGTCTGAGCCAGAAGCATGGCTGCTAAATGGCACTGCTGGGAAATGCTCAGTTGTCAAACAGTGGTGAGGGATTTGCACTCCTTTTCTCCCAAATCTTTCAAGTGGCTGCACCACAGCTGATGAACCTGTGAAGGTCACAGCGTGACCACAGGCTCTGCCCTGCAGCTTTCTGCTGCTCCACCCCTCACCCTGCAGGACTAAGAGGTTGCCTTGTCCTTGCAGCACTGCAGAAGCTCAGAGGCACCAGCGACCTGAGTGCAGAGCTGGAGGAGATGCTGGCCGAGCAGGCTGCAGTGGCAGGCCAGAGAGCGAAGAGCCCGTGGGAGCTGCTGCAGAGCGCAGCGCTGCGGCGGCAGCTGGCCAGCGTCGTGGTGCTGAGCAGCGCCATGCAGCTCTGCGGCAACGACTCGGTGAGCAGCCCCTGTCCTGGGAGCTCCTGGCAGCAGCCTTCTGGCACCAGGAGAGGAATGAATAGTGTCTCTGTGCCTGTGGAGATCTCCACGTGGCAGGTGTTTGGTTCCCAAAATACACCCGGGCATTATGGGAAGATTCAGAAGGATGCTGTCAAAATAGCCTGAGTGACAGTGCATTGGTCACTCTGCATGGTCCTACAGGAAAAACAATGGGATGTATTCTTAGATGTCATTCCTTACTGCTTTCTCCTTTCCTCTCTTCACAGATGTATTTTTATGCAGCTTATGTGTTCCAAGAGGCTGGAATTCCTGAGGACAAAATCCCCTATGTTGTAATCGGCACGGGAAGCTGTGAGCTGATCACATCTGTCACTTGTGTGAGACTCTCGGTGCACTCTGGTGGCATGCAGCCTCTGCTGGCAGGGAGGAGGCTGTTAATTACAAACTTGGGGTTTACATTGCTCTTCATGCCAAGGGAGCCCTTTGGGCACAGGAGCCAGGCTGGCTGTCAGCTCCCCCAGCCAGAGGGGTTAATGCAGAGGTGTTTGGTCAGACATTGCACTGCCATCACGGTTTGAAATCTCTAAAAAGTGTAACTCTCTTGCTCTGTGGTCATATGGATGGTGGCAGAGTTTAGGTGCAGCTGGGACAATCTCATCTCCCCTGAACACCCTTCTTCCTTACTCCTGCCACCAGAACTTTCTTTTGAGGTTTTTTTTTTGCTATGAAGCAGACAACATCCTGAAAGTTATTGTAGAGCGAACCAGGCATGGAGTATTGAAAGGTAAAGAGGAAAAAGGCAGGAAGTATAAACCCAGGTTAAATATCTTGCTTTATTTCCCTGTGTTACTTGTGCAGAACATGATCATAGACTATGCTGGTCGGAGGCCACTGCTGCTGGGGGGATACATCTTCATGGCAGGATGGGCCATTGTCTTCATGGTCGCTCTGAGCCAGCAGGTAACAAACTTTACTGAGTTATTTAGGTGGAACGGAGTTGGGCTTTGCCTTTTATATGACTGGGGTGTTCAGTGGTGGCAAATAAGTGCCCTCACTGGTTTTCCATTGGTCTCTGTGGCTGTAGACTCAGATTAGCTGGATGCCTTATCTCAGCATGGCCTGCATTTTCGCCTATATCCTGAGCTTTGGAATCGGACCAGGTCAGTTCCCTCAGTGTTTTCACTGAAACTTTTGGGTACTGCAGGGGTTTGCAGATGTGTGCAGGCATCTTATGGAAACTCTCAGACCCTCTTTAGCTGCAGCAGACTCCAAGGAATGAGGCAGGTTCTGCCAGTGCTGCTTGGCTGTGTCACAGGGGTTTGGTGCCCCTGGTCAGTCAGTGCTGTGCAGGGCCAGGCTGTGCCCGTTTCTCTCTGTGCCACATTCCCCCTGACAGTCATCCTGGCTAAGAGGCCAAGGCACTTGGAAGTGATTTTTGGCTTAAATAGATGACAAGCTTTTGATTTGCTGCCCAGTCCATTAGGTCTGCAAACCAGAATTTCTAATGCTTCACTTTAATCCTAGAAATTGTTGGCTATGCCATCTGATTATTTTCTTGCAGACACATGGAAGCACAATTTCCACGTCTATCTGTTAGTCTATTGATATGCCCTTCTGTGGCAGAATACACTGGTTTCTGGGGTGGGAAGGCAATACACAGGATGTTGTGGATGTTTGCATGGTGAATGTAGAGATGTGAGACTCTGTTTGCTCACACGAGTTTGAAGGAAGGCACATAAGAATAGAACCAAGCTGCCAGTGTCACATGCCACACAAGTTGGCAATACTTTCTTGTCCCAGTCCCTACAGTGCCATGGAGTTGAATTAATTATAAGCCTTTCTCACAGTTGGGTCCTGGTAAGAATAATGTGGATTACAAAATCTTTCCTGGCAGATCATTCTAACATGAGAAAGTTTGAATAATTACCCAGTCCCTTAATATTTAACCTAAAATTTACCTCTTCATGTTGGGTTTTCTTGTTAAGATGTGTTCTCTTGTTTTTAATGCAATGTCAACAACATTATTAACTTTGTTGCCGTTTCTTTTTCCAGCTGGTGTAACAGGAGTTCTGCCCACAGAGGTTTTTGATCAAATGTCCCGACCAGCTGCTTACATGATCTGTGGCTCCCTGCTCTGGTTCAACCTGTTCCGGGTGGGAACAGCCTTTCCATTCATTGTGGTGCGTTCCCAAAGCAAAGCAGCTCTTTAGTGCTCTGTGCAAGAGAGAGGCTCTGCCAGTGACCAGGAAAAGAGAATATTGCCAGCAGCAAGATAGCACTTTGAAAAGTATCTTTGTGAGGACAGTGGCCCCAATTCCTTTAAAGCAAACTTTCTGGTGTTCCCTTTGGTGATTTCTGATTTGAGGTTGGGAGTGGAATCATCTGGGGGATGGATGGTCAACATTCCTTGTCTGGGCTCAGTTGAGAACAGCTGGAACTGAAGGTGTGATGTAATTTCCCTTTGCCAGACCCTGGCTCTATTCCCTAAGATGATTCCTGAAGCAAAAGGGAGCAGAACTCCACAATACACATTCCTGTCTTATTTCCTACTGAGGGCTCCCATGTTATACAATCATATATAGAGAGAAAGACAGAAAAAGACTTTTTAAAATACTGTTCTTGCTATGTCAAAATTCCCAGTCTATGCTGGGGAGCATCCAGGCACGTGAGGCTCTCACCAGGATTCACTGAAACACTCCCTGGGTGACTTTAGCCCATGCAGGAAGAGGGATTAGTGGCCTTTTTGTCATCATCCAGAATGTCACCAACGCTGTCTTGTCTTTTCCTCCTCCTCAGAAAAGTCTAGCACATTTCTGCTACATCCCATTCCTTGTGGTCTGTGTCTGCACTGCCCTCTACGTTTGGTTTTTCCTTCCTGAGACAAAGGGAAAATCCTTCCTGGAAATCTCAGAGGAGTTCAGGAAACGGAACTTCAAAGCCAAGACCCGTGGAGGTTTCTATAAAGGCCCTGAGGAGATCAAAACCACCACGTTGTAGCAGAAGAAAGGAAGATGATATCTGGGGGGATCCTGCAGTGAATTCAGCAGTGCTATGTGCCCTTGCAGGGACACAAAGAGAGAAGTTAGTGTCAATATATTATTCTTGGGTTCTTAAGTTCACCTTGAAAATATAAACTTGAACTGATAAATCCAAGCAAAAGTTCAATAATCTGTTCTCAGCTTTTAGTACTGAGTAACACATGCATATTTTAGAATGCATATCTGAGAGTGACAGAATGATGCCTTATTCTCTTATCATCATACAACACCATGTAATGCTTTAGAAAATTTCTTCAGAATTTCTCCAAACAGTAACTTCCATCTCAGGAGTCCTTCTTTCCTTGCCCCTGAATCTGGGCTTTCTAACACAGAAATTAATGCGATTAAAGTCTGTTTTCAGACACCAGATGAAATTTTCAGTACCTTGTCTTGGTGCTCCCGTTGTTTCTGTTATTAAGTGATTTCAAATAGACCCCTGCTTGTTAAGCAATAGTGAGCAGTTAATTATTTTCAGCTGTAAAAACATGTGACAGATGGATTAGAAAGAAAGCCTCTAGTACTTGCTAAGTGGCTTATTATACAACAGACTTTTGGGCACTGTTTTGCAGACTATTTATTCTGGACTGGTTTTCTTCATGGCTTGTTTGCTGTCATCCAGTCCTGTGTTGTGAAGCACAAGTGATTCTCTGGTGCAGTTTGCTCTGCTCCCAAGGACACTGCTGGTGCATGCTGTGGGGCTCTGCACCTGTGCTCTGCTGAGGTTAAAGGTGCAGAGGAGCTGCCGTGGCAGCAGCTGCAGGCCACAGCTCAGTGTTCTCTGCAGCATGTCCGTGCTGCCTCTGTAGAGACATTGGCAAAGACCCAGATGTGAGAGTGATTCTTTTTGGTTGACCTGATACAGAACACGGCAACTCCTCACTGAACGTGAACTTTCACAGGCATTGGCCTGACTGTTAAGTTTCTCCCAGTTTCTTCTCAAAGTCATGATCAAGCCACTTCTTTTCTCTTGACTTTGTATGAAAGGCACAGCGCTGCTCATGTTTACAACAAAGAAGAACACACACATTTTCAAAATAAGTAGGTAGAGTCTCTTTCAGTGTATTTTGAAACTACATTTTAAAGAATAATGCAGCATTTTTGAATAAAAAGACTGCACAAATTTCTGGAGTGTATTAGTGTCATGTTGGGCATGAGTGGAGCAGCATATCTATTTCTCAAAAGAGGAGTCTGTCTTTCTTTACCCAAAGTTTATAACATATGAAAAATAAAAGTAAACTTTTTTCCTTTGTGGTTGGTGCTATTTTAGAAGTCATTAATATATAGACATGGGAAAGAGCAGCTACCTCTGCTCTTGGAAAACACTGAGATTTTGAAGCATGCAGGATTTTGAGACAAGACAATCAAGAGCAGGACTCCCTAGAACTGGGAACTGAAGAGGTACTTTACATTGCTATAGTTTGGAGAGAGCAGTGAGGAGCAGATGGAAAGAGTGAAAAACAAAGTGAAAGCAAAATTGCCACTACCATCATGATGGTGGCAAAATATTCTGTAGTTCCTTTGTGAGGACCAGAGGAAGGACAAAAGTGGAACACAAAAGTGGAGACAAAAGTGGAGCACAGAGTGAAGAAGGGAAGTGGGTCAGTGGGGAGCATGCAGGGGAGGAAGCAGGGATGTCTTGTGATGAATGCCCCAAAATGTGAGGACACGAGGCTTGAAGGATTTTTCATAAAATATCATGGCTACAGGGATGGACTGAGGAGACTGCCTGGGCAGAGGGAGAGGCCTGGAGCACACAGATCAGAGAAGACAGAAGCCCTCCAGTGTCCAGAGGTGCTCCCCTTGGCCACTTCTGTTGCCACTCCCATGAGTCAGGATGTGCCTTTTCCTAGAGCCCTGCAAGGGCAGAGCCATCTGCACCTGGCAGTATGAAACAGGCTTGGGCAGAAATTATACACATTTACACCTTTACCTGACTTCCTGACTTTTAGAGCCAGTCCTGTGAGTACCTCTGGCAGAAAACATTAATTCCAACTTCCAGCACTTTTTTCTGACTGTGGCCTGGAATCAGGGGTCTATAAACTGATTAAGCAAACACAAACAGTGGTTACATTTCACTTGGTCTAAGTTGTTAAATTTTAATTGAAGCGTTTAACAAGTTGGTTAATTGATACTGAATTAAAACACCTTCAACTGAGAAATCTATGACACTTGTTCACATTTTCTTATATAACGCGTTAGGCAAAACCACATTTTGAAGTGATCCTCAGAGACTCACAGTTGATATTACTGTTTGCAAATCAAATAATTGTGCATCAATTGTTGGATTGATTAATAACCATCAACACTAGGGAAAACTAGTACTGCTGCTGTCCTCAAGCACTGCTCCCCTGCACAAGCCAGCTCTCACTTACAACCAGCTGGTGTTGGGGTTCTTCCAAAGAAACAGCATCCTAGCCTGGGGAACCACCAAGGGCAGCCACTCTTCAGGAGAAGGAATTCCCCCCTAAGCTGTTTGAATAACTTGCAAAAGCCTTTTAACAGAATTATCTTGGACACTGCCCTTCAAAAATTATGGATAAAACTAAAGATTTTGCAGTCAGGATTTAAAACTGACATTGAACTTCCCTAGCATCTGCCATATATTATAGGATACAGAGCTGAACTCTCAGCCAATGACCTCTACTCTTTAGGAGTCAGTTGGTCAGTGAGCTGGTCACAGCCGGGTGCACAGGCATTGTCTGTCCTGGCCAAGTAGGGCTGGAAAAGGCTTTTCTGGGCTGAGGCTCAAGGTAGCAGTCAGGAGCTTTCCCTTTGGGTGTGATCACTGATTACCCAGCCTGTGACCTGGGGAGTCCAAGCCAGCCCGCTCCAGTTTGCACCAGTCCTGGGACTTTGACTTCCATCGCTGCTTTCCTCCTTGTCCTTTGCTCGTCTCCCACAGCTCCTGCTGTCCCCAGCTGTCCCCAGCTGCACACAGCTCACCAGCCATGCTCAGCTGCATCACTAACCCACACAACAACGAAAAACCACAGCAAAAACTTCATGAAAACCAAAGGGAGCGCTAACACCGCAAAAGAACAAAATCGTTGCAGTAAGGTAGAAAAATCACAGAGAAAGGCTTCATGAAATCAAGCCTGCTCTCCTGGAATCAGTGGCTGGCCTTGTCAAAGCCAGCATTTTGCAGATTGTGAAAGCAATCTTGTTGTGAGTAATTGGTTATTAAAAAAAATAACCTACACCTGCATAAAAAGTTTTTGCACCGTTAGAAAAATGAAAATCATCTTTCACAAACAACTGTCCCTGCAGGTAGACATCAAGAGTTTGAGTGACCAATAAATAGAGAATAACAACTTGTTACTAACCAATAAAGTAATTGGCAAGAAAATTACTAACCAGTTGGAGTCCCACATGAGGTCTGTAAAACTGTATGAAAAGGAGTTATGTGAATAAAGAATGGCCTTTTTCTACCATGAAGTCCTGTGTGATTTATTCCCATACAAACTGACATGTTGAAATATTATCTCAGGCTCCTCTTTCTCCATATAAAAAGGATCTTTTTCCACAGTAGCCAAAGAAAGCATCAGGAAAGACCCAGGCTGCAAGTGGGGATGACTACCTTTGCATGCAAGTTGGTGTGAAGGGGTTTGATGCCTGTTCAAGCAATGACATTCCCCTGATTAGAAATTGGCTTGTAAATGCTTGGCAGTCATTGTTTGAATATGAAATATTCCAGGCATAGAGGTGCAGCATCACTCTCCTGTTGCTGGCCAGAATATCCCCAGACACAGGGAGCAGTGGCAGTGGGAAGGGTTGAGGTGCCTCTACTGCAGCTCTGTATCCTTACACCTCCTATCAGAGAGTTCTAAGAAAAGGTGAATAAACTGTAAAAGCAGGAATGCCCTTTAATCCCCAAATGTTTATCTAGTCTCAGCCAAGTCACTGAGCAAAATATTCATTTAGGTGAGAAAGCAAGTGGGAAAGGAGGAGGAGAAAGGACAAATAGATGGAATTGTTCACAAAATGCTTTTGGCCATTGCACTATGCTCCCACAACTGTGACAGTGCAGATTAAGATGGCCAAAGCTGAAGGCTGAAGCACTGAAGTGTGTAACTGGATTCTGGAAGGCATCTGTGAGCTTTGCCTCTACTCAGCATTCTCACTGTCCTGTGCTGCAGTAGCTGTGCTTTTCTGTTGCTCCTTGGTCTCAAGGAGGCAGCTGTGTGGCATTGCTCAAATTGTTAGAGCTCCCAAGGAAAACAGCACATTTTGAAGCATGTCTGCATAGCTGAACCAGTTTCTTTGCTGTATTTTATTTCCTGCAAGAAAATGAGCTACAACCTTTTTCTCCTGGCTTTTGTCCTGGGCATGACTGGAACCTTCCACTATGGATTGCAGGTCTCCATTATCAATTCTCCTGCTGAGGTAAGCATGGAAAGCTCAAAGAGTGATCTACCAGGGTTTCACTGTTCTCAGGCATTCATACCTCTATATGCAATAGTTAACTTTTTACTTGTGCTTTGAAAATTAAAAAGAATTGTGGTTTCTTAGTTCTAAGAGTAGCTGCTACTGCTCTTGTGTTTCATGAGGTTTGAACTTCTGTCTGATGTGGCAGCTGGGAAAGGGAAGGATGAATAACATCCATAAAGTCAGCCATTTCCCCCTTCTGTGTGGAATTGCTCTCGGGGCATTCTCCTCTCCCCATTGCTGGGGAGTTCCTTGCATCATGTGCTTGAGCACCCAGACTATTTGCAAGTGGTTGTAAGGTGAAATAGGGCAGGGAAGGACTGTAGCTCTGGAGCTGAGGTCAGCACTGCTACCTGTAGCTGGAAAAGGAAAACTGGGGATGGTGTTTGTCATCCTGAATGATACCAAGGACACTGAGCTCACACTATCACCACAGACAAGTGGGAATGGCAGGGAAAGATCAGGGAGAGAAAAAGTCAGGGTTTAGCACAGAAACAGAGACCTACCATTCTCTTACTGGCCCTCACAGTTGATATTTAATATTGATATATTGGATCTCATTGCTAAAACATCAGCTCCAGGCATAGTAATGGCAAAATTCCCATTGGGGCTAAGGTTTCAACCAAGGTTATTGACAGAAATCATCAAAAAGACCGATAAGTAGGTAAGAGAATTGAAAAAGCAGTGCAATTATGCAAAACCATGTTGACTGAGTCCACTGTTTTGTTTAACCTACCATTTATGAGTAAAACTGGCACTCACAGTTGATATTTAATATTGATATATTGGATCTCATTGCTAAAACATCAGCTCCAGGCATAGTAATGGCAAAATTCCCATTGGGGCTAAGGTTTCAACCAAGGTTATTGACAGAAATCATCAAAAAGACCGATAAGTAGGTAAGAGAATTGAAAAAGCAGTGCAATTATGCAAAACCATGTTGACTGAGTCCACTGTTTTGTTTTTTTCTTTTAAAGTACATCCAAAGTTTCATCCATGACACCTGGCTGAAGAGATATGGCTCCTCTCCCAGCCACAGAAATGTATCAAAAAGACCGATAAGTAGGTAAGAGAATTGAAAAAGCAGTGCAATTATGCAAAACCATGTTGACTGAGTCCACTGTTTTGTTTTTTTCTTTTAAAGTACATCCAAAGTTTCATCCATGACACCTGGCTGAAGAGATATGGCTCCTCTCCCAGTGCAGACATGGTCACTTTGATGTGGTCCCTCATTGTGTCCATCTACAGCATCGGGGGGCTCCTGGGCTCCTCCTCTGCTGGGTACCTGTGTGTCCGGTTTGGGAGGTAGGAGCAGTGCTTACACCAGAACTTCTGCCTGCACCCACTGCTGCACACAAATCAGCTGTGTCTCGGGAGAAACACTGCTTCTAATGGGGCATTGGGAGAATGGAAAATCTGCCAATGATCACAAGGAAAATCATACCCTCTCCCTTATAGTCCAAAGCAAATCCAGTCCAGGGAGGTCATACAAGAAGTACATGCATTTTAAAGAGAATTTCAGAGACAACCACTCACAAAGCTTATTCCCAGTGTAGATATTGACTCTACTAGAGGCACCAAACCCTTCAACTAACTGATCAGTCTGTGACAAGTTTCCCCATTGCCATTTCCCATTTAGTCCAGCTGATCTCAGAAGCCAGCACTGATTCTGTAACAGTGGTACAATTCGCGCCACTCCCGTCAGGCTGTGAATGAGGCAAGGGCAGTATTTATGCTCACATTGATTTGAATGAATTCCAGGAAGAAGGCCATGCTGCTCTCCAACATCCCTGCTCTGCTGGGTGCAGTTCTGATGGGACTCA